ATATATTCTTAAAGTGCACTGAGCAGCAGCCTCGAAAATACTATGTAACTTACCCATATAGTTACAAAATACTCAAACTCACATTGTGACATTTATAATTCAGCTTATATTTCTCCAGCAGATTATTTATCTGCATAAGAAGTTTATTGTGCTCTTATCGTGTGTAATAACATCCAAACACAGAAACCTGGCCTAAAATGGTACCTATCTTGACAAATTTTTTGAAGTGGTCTATATTACGGACCGTGGCTCACTGGGTTGTTAACATGATTTAAAATAACACAACATTTTGGCTGTAAAAAATACACAAAGAGTAAATACTATTTAAGCAGCTACTGTCATGACAGAAAGGTCATATTCCTTTTAAACTAGATCACATCATCCTTTAACGTTGATGTTTACGTGGTAGTAAACGTCAATATTTACGTAACAGCCAATTTACAGTATTTATTGCTTTTTCCAAATGCCGCGTTGTTATGTAATTTGAATTATTTGTTGCCAATGAAGCCGCACAACCAACGAGGAGGTCCCTAACAGTTCAAGAGTAAAAGCCAACGCCACTTCAAGTATATTCCACTACACCTAAATTTCCGTAGATGAATAATTAGCGTAAGCGTTGACAGTGACCGTCGATTTCGATGGGTTTCACCTAGTCAAATGTAAACTGATGGTGGCCAATTGACATGCTTTTTGATCGCCTATTTACGAGAAGAAAATAAATAATATTGATTCACAATTGTATTAGTTGTGTAATTTACAGTTAATATACGCTATAAAACTCAAATATACTCTTTTGGTTCTGGGGGCAGCCACAAAACCTAAATTCTGATTGCAGCAATATAGATAGCGGGATGTATATATATATATAAATATAGATATATATATAAACTAGCAGTTACTCAGCGCGCGTTGCTGCGCTAACAAAATACATCTGTCTGTGTGAAAAGCATGTTTTTTCTACATTTAAACCGACGATAGTCAGGGATTGCCCTAGTGCCTTATAATGGTGATTGCGAAAGCAAGACACTAAGGAAATTGTAGTTGCTTAAATTCAGAGGGTGATTCGGATGAAATCATCAGTATTCTTATGATTAAGACTATTTCTCCCTTAAACCTATCACTGATAATTTTTGCTTTAATAAATTTTCACGTCATTTTTGGAGCCGATTGGACGGATCACCAAATTGATGGTGTATAAACCTATTCCATGAAATTCTACACGTATGTACCAAGTTTCGTGGCAATCGGTTCAGCGGTGTCTGAGTTTATCACTGACAAATATATATATATATATATATATATATATATATACAAACATCCTCTTTTATACTTATAGATAATACTTTGATAAAGGTTTTTATGTTTTTAATATTTAAAACATTGGAGAATTTAAACGTTGATGAGTGCACAGGTGTGCTGCGATTGGGGTTTAATACATTTGGACTTATTCAAAAGTAAAATAGTTGTCTGTGCTGCTCTCTGTAGAAACACTGTGGCACTACAGTATTTCAAATCATGACTGTTGCTAATACAGAATGTTGTAATTATTCAAACCTACAAAACAGTTGGTGAAAGTAAACATCTGCTTTTAAATCAGGGACGGATTTCCCACTAGGCACACTAGGCCAGTGCCTAGGGGCGGCAGGCCCTTGACCGGTGCCGTCGCTTACGTTTACTGCCACTTACGAGTGCCGCTGCTTACGGGTGCCGTCCCTTCGTTTTTCCCGCCGCTTACGAGTGCCGCCCCTTACGTTTTTCCCGCTGCTTACGAGTTCCGCCGCTTACGAGTGCCGCCACTTACAAGTGCCACCCCTTACGTTTTCCCGCCGCTTACAAGTGCCGCCGTTTACGTGTGCCACCACTTACGTTTTTCTCGCCGCTTACGAGTGCCGCCACTTAACGTTTGCCGCCGCTTACAAGTACTGCCGCTTACGAGTGCGCTGCTTACTGCTGCCGCCGCTGCCATAGTCCGCCGACTGTGGGAGCGACCGCGACGGCACGGTGGTGACGGAAAACGACAGTCAAAGGACAATGATGAGATAGATTAGGTTTACAATGGTTAAAAGTAGGAGGAAACCATTGTAAGGACTTAACAAAGATATTTATGTGAAAATATATACATTCAAAGTCGTTATTTCTTATATTTAACTCAAGTACTGTATTAACATATTTTAATGTTTGTGGGATGGTAGACCTTTTCAACTGTAATTAAAATTAAAAAAATAACTTGCAGTGTTCTTTTAAAAACACTCTAAATGGGTTAGACTTAGTTTATATTTAAAAAATAATTACTTTTCACCACACTAATATGTTTTTAGCCGTTTTACAAAACGTTAATTGGGGGCTGGAAGCTATGTAATTGCTGTCCAGGACCGAAATGGCAGCTTTCATCGTCATTGGCAACCGATTTGGTTATTACGGCCATAGAGTCACAAAACCAGTTGTTCGCCCGTGAGCCCTGACCGGGATTTTTCGGGAAATTTTACTGGGACACGGGCCTGCAATTTTGTGACAGGCTCAGCCACATGGGCCCCCTATCATAACAACATTTATATGAAAACTACCATATTTTTTATGCCGAAAATTTGTTAAACCCACTAAGAGCACTAGAACAAGTAGTTTACAACAGCTTAACTGACACACTATTATTTGGCCGATCGATATAAACTCTCTACCAACCTAAGTAAAAGAATTGTCATCAGTCATGTAGGTTGCATCAGCAGTCCTCATGGACTGCGTGAAGGCGCTATTTATAATAGGGCCGTATTTAGAACCAATGAGTCCTCGGCCTAGGAGGATAAAACATTAATGTTAATCCTCCTAGGCCCCGGTGGGGCACACTAGAGAGGGCCCTCAATGCTGATTTAACTTAATGAACTTGACAATTTTTTACGATCAAATCGGCGAATTAACCTAGGTGCCTGATGCACTAGCTAATAAATAATTCCATTCTTCCATTGACGCTAAAGAAGGATTTTCATTTCACTTCGTTTCTTACTATTAGGAGGCTGCACTTTAGATTTGTTTACTTCGAGTCAGGTAAAAAATATCACTTACTACTTAAAGGCCTCGGGCCAAATCAGAGTGGTTCAAAATCGGTTTACTTTGGAAGCTGTTGATTTTTATATAATGTTGATTTTCGAGCCGAGCAGAGCCTGTATATAAGCTTGAGAGATCAAGCACAAAGTCAAAAAATCAAACTCAAGCCGATTTTCTCAGTTCAATAATGCCCAATTAAAATTAAAGTTTTTATGTCCCCGAGGATCATGCTCACGAAATTGAAAGATTAGGCCTACGTTTTTGACGCGATCGCGGATATCAACGAGAACATTTCCCCGCGAGTGACGATGACGATGTCTCCGCAGCCGCAGGTGACGTTCAATATTTTTCCCGGATTGCAGAAGACGTTATTGAGGTTTTCCTGCGAGCGAGATATATTTAGGATTTTGCCGTGATTGCGGAAAAATATTTCCCCGTCACGGGTCGCGGGGTGGGAGATATTAGGGATTGGGTCGTGAACGCGGGAGACGATAATGTTGTTATCTGAGGATGTCATAGGTCATTTTTCCGCGATCATGGAAGACGATGATGACGCCTCGGGAGACGCCGTATCAAGCTATAGTGCAAGTTTAGGCGGTAATACATGTGATATATAATATTTTTTAAGATTATTGGGAGGGGCCGGGTGAACAAACTTGCGGGGGGGCCCGCGGGCTCTTATCGCCGCCACTGTAAAACAATGTATACAAAATAAAATATACAAGCAATATCCATATCAATTTTATGTCATCGCTGCCTAGCAACTATTTATTAGTATATTTTTGCTGGTTCCTCTAAATTATTTCTTCACATAACCTTAAAGTTGTAGTTGTGTTAACTGTTAATGTGCATTTATAGTGTGAAAATTACAACTGGCCATCCATTTTTGTATAGTGTGGTGAAAAATGGCGTTCGTACCACGGGTCAAAACGGTTTTGCAGCTCTTGACTTGGTCCCGAATTTAAAAAACTACGAGCCGGAAAAAACCTCATTTTCGGTCCTAGGTACGAGGGGGCGGCACTAAGTATAGTGCCTATGGGGGAAATATGTATAAATCCGTCTCTGTTTTAAATTATATTTATTTGCAAACATTGTAGATAAAAAAGTCTCATACATAGTTCCTCTTTTATAGATATAGATATATATAATATATATATATATGTACATTAATGTGATAACTCGAGCAAAAATGATCCAATTTTGATGAAATTTGGTACAAACGTGTAAACCTACATTTATTCGAACGAGTTAGCGAATCAGCATAATCAGACTATGGGAACGGGGGTTTATGGAGGGTTTTATGGGGTAAAAATTTATTCTTCCCATTTTCGACCCTAAATCACAAAATTTGATATTATCTCTTGAAACCAAATTGTAGAGCTTAAAAAAAGTAATAGTTAAGTATATTGAAACGTTGTTGTATGCCCAAAAGTTACGGAAATAATTTAAAAAATTGCAAATTTAAAATTTTCATGTTATTCTTTCTTATGGAGAATAAATAAACTGTTATAGTTTGCTTGTTTATGGATATATTTAAACCAAATTTGGAAATTTTGTTTATTTAATGCTTAGCTATAGACATTGCAATAAATAAACACATCTCAATATTTTCCCTGTAACAGCAAACCTAGATGCTCACTAAAATGTAATGTTAATTAAATAGGAAACAAATATGATAATTTTTAGGAAATATTTAAGTAGAAATCCAGCCAAATAAATGAAAATTTGCTAAGACTGCAGGTTTGCTGTGGCAAGGGTATTTTAAATAGATATAGGCCTATACAAAAAGTGACAAAACATTGAAATAAAATAGCAGTCCGAAAGGCTAGAATCCTAACACAAATCACACCATTTTCGGCTTGAAGTGGGATGCTAGCCTCTCGGACACCAGCATCCCAGACACCAAAGTCCTAGTATAATCGTAGCCTAAGTTCCTATACAAGAGATGACACATTACAAACCTGTCCAGAATACAGATGACAGAATCCTCTAATGATTTTTTCCTTGTACAAATTACCAGCAGCTGTTTCAATTCTTCGGATGGTTTGCATTTGCTTATAGAATTTTATTGCTTCCTCTCTTGAAATTGTAACCGTAGTAGATGGTCCATCTTCCAGTTTATGTAGTTTAAACGGCTGAAAATAAGTTCAAATATGTATTTACAAATATACTACTTTCTTAAGTCTACAAGACATGCATTTCATATTGAGTGGGACTTCATGGCTAAATGTGTTGTTTCCAGGTGGGCTAATGGCATTAGAAAAAGAAATAAATGCTATCAGCAATCTGACACATACTTTCTCCCACTACTTATGACTTCTTTTCTGACTTTTCTAACACACTGTATACAATTTAACCCTATGATATACCCTACTATGATATATACTTGAGACAATATAATAATTGTTAATGGAGGTTATTTTCTTCTGAAAAATCAGTGAGTGAATTTTGTATCTATAATATACACCTGATTTCCTAAACTACATCTGATTCTTACTATTCACTTTAGGGAGAATAGGAGCTACTTTAACCAGGCAACGCATGTATTGAAAACAGCCATTTTTGCTGTGGTATGACAACTTGTCATTAATAGCTTCAAACTAAGGATTTACTAATCTCAATAATTTTGGTAGCAATTACTATGCTGATAAGGTTGTTGCGATCGAAAATTATAATGTTGGCAATAGGAAAACCTAGCCTATCTGTTTTTGGAAGAATCATTACTACCAATGCATAAATATGTTCCTATTGTCATCTCCAGCACTTAATATTATCATGATGCTGCCGCAAATGGTTTCTATGAATAATTAGCTATATAAAAAAAACATTTCCTAGAGAGAAAATAAATGGATGTCTATAAAGGGAGAACTCTGCTACAACGGTGGCAAGCCCGGGACCTAAGTAGCCAACAGAAAGTTCACAGCAAAGAAACCTATGAAAGGTAAAAATGGAAATCTAATAGTAAATGAGGAGGAGAAGCAGATGGAAAGGTGGAAAGAATTCTTCGAGGAGTTGCTTTATAGACAGACAGAGTATGGTGGGGGAGGAGGGAACTTATATGAAGAGACATTTTTGAAAACGAGTTCGAGGACCCCAGAATAAGTATAGGAACACCATCAAAAGCAGAAATTATAGCAGCACTCAAGGAAATGGTGTAGACTCTATTTCTCCTGAAACAAACACAAACCTTATTTTTAACTCAGCAAATATTTTTTACAGCTTGATAAAGGATATATGGGAGAAGGAGGTAATACCAGATTACTGGAGGAAAGGGTTGTTGATTAACACGTTCGCTACTGAGCGTCGCATATATGCCACGCCGCGGCCATTGCCACAGACCGAGGTATACATTTGAATCTTACACTTAGACCGGCTGTCACTTGGATAACAGTACACACAGACCACGGGCTAAAACCTGTAAAACAGTGATAATTTACATTGTAATACGCTCCAATCGTGTTTGTAAATAAAGTATTCTTGTTTTTTTTGTATTTTTTATAACCTTTTGTAATGTCGCATATTCGCGACGCCCGGTCTACAGCAAAGACAATAGTGAAAATTATCATAGTTTTCTTGAAATAGACCAAACGTTGCATATATGCGACGGTTCATTTTTTTGTGTTTTGAAGTGAAAGTAAGTAAAATAAAAAACAGATTGATAAAGAACAGTTTATAACTGAACAAATATAAAAGCTACATAGGATATTTCAGCATACATACTGCATACATACATACAGTGATGCAGAAAAGTAAAGACCAGTTTTTCCAACTATCATATGACGTCACCAATCATCATATCCACAGACCAAGCGACGCAGTTGTGCGTCAGACATCTCTGTAGACCACTGCAGGGAATTCAGTGCCTTCAAATATATAAAGATATATTTGATTTATGCTTATAAATATACAAAGATATAAGCATTTTAATAACATTAGAACCCCGACGCAAATATGCGAAGGCAGTCTATTTTAATGTGACTAGCCGACGCACATATGCGACGGCAGTCTATGGGTGGAAACCGGCCGTCGCATATGTGCGTCGCTGGTCCATGTGAATGAAAAATTTCCTACTATTGCAGTAGCGAACGTGTTAAGCTGCCAAAGAAAGGAGACACTTCTTTACGCAACAATTTGAGAGGTATAACCCTGCTATCCGTGGCAAGTAAAATACTCACCAGAATAATTTTAACTAACTACTGAGAGAACACGCAGGGTTCAGAAAAGACGGAGACGAGGATGCTGCAACCAGAATAAGGAAAGCTAAAGGAGGTTTTGCACAGCTTGAACAGTGCTTGTTTGGCAGTCAAGCCAAATAAGAAGAAAAACTATTTTAAATATTTTAAACAAATATGTAAAGTCTGTACTCTTATATGGCTGCCAAACATGGAAAGAAACAAAGGCTATAATCAGAAAATTGAAAGTTTTTATTAATAAATGCCATCAAAGGATATTAAAAATTCATTGTCCTCAAAGAATTACCAACGAAGAATTACAGAGAGTGACAAACCAAAGCCTTAGTGAGTCGGTGGCTCATTCGGTAGCGTCACGGACTTCGGGCCCATGGCAGCGATGTCGTGGGTTCGGATCCTGGCCACTGCTGGAAACATTTTATCAGTACTGATCACCTTTGTACTGTACCGGCTCACTCCTTGCTTTGCTGTATACGATCCACGCATAGGCAGTTAGTCTATGTGGACGGGCAAATGCAAGGTTAAAAGTGGCCACCAACCTCTTAAAAAAAGCCCAGTAAATGAGACTTTCAAGAAAAGAAAGTTTGGCTGGATTAGCCATATGCTGAGAAGTCAAACTAAATAAACTACACCAAACAACACCATTAGTCGCCAAGCCCTCAAGCGAAACCCTCAGGGGAATAGGAAAAGAGGAAGGCCGAAGACAGCCTGGAAGAGGTCGGTCAACAAAGAAATCAAGAAAGAGGGCAAGAGCTGGGGTGAAATCAAGCTGATGGCACGGAACAGTGTACGGTGGCTCAGTAGTATTTTAAAGAGCTAGATGGATCGGTAACAACGTATTTGTGTATGAAGAAACCCTCCACTTTGATGTGTCTAGTGCCCCAAAGTTGTCAACATTAAATCTATATATATTCTCTTTAAACTTTAGATACACAAGTCTTCGTCTCAATGATTGAAGGTTTCTGAAATACAAGTGTTCTTGACTAAAGATTGAGCCTTTCCAATTGTGTCCGTCATCTTCACAATTTTCATATATATTTGTGTTTTGCCTTAGACCCTTGGATCACAATAAAAGTAAAATTATGATTTTACAAATAGTAATAGTAAAACAGTATAGTACAGTAATATTATTTTTAATAGATGGGAGGCAAATACCAACTGAATGAAGGTTTGAAAGAATGAAAGTTTGGGAACCTCTGCTCTATAGATTGATTTCAGCTTACAACAAAAATCTTGTTTCGGGACAATAATCTCCTGATAATAAGACTCTGCACTTTTGATAAAAAAGGCAACTTTACAAAATGTGCTAGGCTATAAAGCTATATGAGTTTTTCTTTAAAAATGATATCCTACACAGTAAATAAATATTGTATGCAGTAAATAAAAACCAATAAGTAATGTCAAGTTTTGATTATAATATAATCTTACTATTATTTTCTTGCTAATATTATAAATCTGAAAGTTTGTGAGTTTGTGTGTTGCTCAATCACGCATACTACTGGACGGATTGGGCTGAAATTTGGCATGATGATAGCTCACATTACCGATTAACATTTAGGCATATTCTTATCTCAAAAATCCTTTCGGGCTCCGCCCCAGTGGCTCTGTAGTTCCCCTTGATAACCTTATGAGTATTCATATTTAAAGGGAATTAAAGAATTTAGCCAGCTGTTTCAACTTTACAAGTTGGTTCTGTAATATGATAATATGCAATAGCATTAAAAAGTTATAAGGTTTCCCAACAGGGTGTAGCACTATTATTATTTTGTTTTTGCATATATGACAACAGCTAATTTGAACCAAGCAGCAACAAAAAGCTGTGATGCACAATGAGAACTGTCAAAGTAGGATTGTTTAGTTAGGTTTGAGTTTTTAATTTAATGAATAATTTGTGGTATTGTGCGAATGTTTAATAATTTATTTTTTTCTATTGTTTAGGTGCAGTGGTAGAACATTATGGCAGTGGTAGTTGTGTTATACAATATCATACCGTAAATTTATGAACCAAATTTTATCAAACTGTGTCCTCCCTCCTTTGCAAACGCAAAGCTTGAGTATAACTGCAATAAGCATTTTATTCTTATATGCCAACCCCGTACGAAGGACGGGTGCTCTGCTAGTTATTTATATTTTGGAATTATTTAGTTTTGAACATACTACTTTTATGGAGTTTTAAAACAAATAGGCTTTAAATTTGCAACACAATAGTATATTACGTTACTAGTCCTGAAAATAAGTGTTTACCGGACGAGTGTGGTCGTCGTGTGGACTCGACTTCGTCTCGCACGGGATTACCATACGAGTCCGGTACACACATTTTGGACGAGTTATGTACGATAGTTTACGCCATACTACTAAATCCGTACAAATCCTTATATCTTTCCACCAACTAAAGGACTAAAAATCACTAGTTTTTGTTTATAACCACTCACTGCCACCTAAATACAGTATAATCAGCTGATTGGTGTCCGGTAAAACTCATTGCAGTACAGTAGGACGCAATGAAACCCCATTTGAATAAGCTGGCGGCAAACAGCTGTTTTCTGGACTAAATCCTTGCGTGGGAAGTTCGTCAAAATAATATAGTGTGGCGTAAAAATATTTGTTATCTAGAAGGAAAAATATGTTTGTATTGATAGAGATAGATAAAGAGGGCCAGTGATAAATTTGTATTAGCTGAGGACCTTCCTTTGAGAGACTTTTAAAAAGAAGAAATGTGTTTCTTGGTACCACAGAGTTATTTGACCTAGCCCTGTGGAAGCCTCTTTACTCTTGAAAATTGTTACTCCCGAGAAGGTAAAAGGAGTTGATGTTTAACTAGAGCTTTTAACAAACATTTCACTGGTCAAATTAGTATCAAAAGTGTTTGTTCATTTTATGTATTGCAATCCAAGTTACATACTTAAAAAACTATCTACAAGAGGTTAAGTTACCTTTTACTTTTTTGGTCCAAGTAATCCCCAAGTCGATATGGCACTGGTTTCAAATTTTTAAGCTGGAAGACATAAAATCTATCATTACGTAGGATGTCGTCATGAGTCTTAAAAAAAAGTAGAACATTATAGTCGCACACAAACACAATAATTTACATGGCCATACAACTTGAGGAAGACACAGCGTCAGTCTAGACCTACACCCTGTTCTCGCTGCCATGCTGCAATTAGAAGTTGTATGGCAATGCGTGTGTGTGACTGTATGTGTTACGTGTTATTTAAGACTCATGACAATCTCCTACGAGTGATATATTTTATGTCTTCCAGCTTGAAAATGATGCCGTAGACGTTGAAACCGGTCGCTTTATAGACGATTTGTGGATTACTTGGACAGGAAAAGGTAACTTAGCCTCTTGTAGAGTGTTGATTGATGCCATTAGCAAGGCCGAGCAGTGGATTCACTGTGAACTGACCTGGTGGTGCTTCACTCTCTACACTCGCCGAATACAGTATAAGATCTGCTCTACCATGTAGATCGCCTGAATACACACTTTTAGCTCAATTTTTGTCACTTTGATGATGAATTCTATAGTTCCTGAAAAGGGTAAATAGTGACCTGACGTTATAGCCTAAGACAAGTTTTAGGGGAGCATTAACACCAATAAGATAAGCAAGAGCAATAATAATAGATTACCTTAGTTTCAAATGTAGCCTCGGTCGCATAGTTGTTTTTTGATACCCCCAGCAATGACATCAGCTTCTAAAAAAAAAGATTAAGATAATCACTATTTTGTTCTTTTTGGGTCAGTCCAGGCCAATTCATCCAGGGGGGTACACCCCACCACCTCAGATTTGCATGAAATTTTTTTACAGCATCTATGGACAAATATAACAACCCATATTTTTTATTTTTGTTAAATTCACTTTAAAAAAATAGGTTTTTTTTAACCGATTTATTTGAATTGGCGTCGGGGGAAAAGAACACTTTTTAGTTTAAGACCGACTGTGAGACTAAAAATTATTTAATATAAATACATGAAATTTAGCACTCTTACAAATAACAACACCCTGATTCCAAAAATATGGTCCAAAATAGTAAAATCTTCCAATTTATTTTGGTTAAAGGCATCTTCAAAGTTGAAATTTCGGAAATATTTTTCTCGCTGTCGCCATTTCCGTAAATCCTCATGAATTTGTTGGCAGGTCCTACAAATTTGAACAAGGTGTCATTTTAAAGCTAAGAAAAAGTACTATAAGAATATGTAATAAAATTCATGGGTATTTAGTGTTATTACAGTAAAAAAAAAAATAAATAGTTAATAACGGAAAAAGTCATTAAAATTTTACGAAAGCATTTGTTTACGTAGTGTTATAAATGACAACATTTATTTATGGTTGCTGAGCATATATAAAAATATGAAAAAGCTCATCTCCATCATCATATTGTAACAGAATCTAAACAAGTTTAAATTAAGTATGAGTATAAGCAATCATTAGTTTTATGAAGTATGGTACGAAATAGTATAAACTTTAAATTCATTCACTTATAAATTTAATCAACTTGGAACACAGGTTTTAACATAAAATTGTTCAATTATATGTACCAAAAAGCAATATTATAATATTACACATTTGATTTAAAGGCGGAATGCAACTAAAAAACTAGAAAGCCAAGACACCTTAAGCTAGTAAATTATTTAGTTTGTGCTTTTTTGCTTACCTGTCTAATGGTCTTGGAAATAATTAAATTTCAATATCTTAATATATATATAATATATTTACATGTTTCTTTTTTGATTATTAGTCTTATAGCCTACATAGATTAGTTTTTTCTTGGCCATATAGCACTTATGTTCTTTATACTTTTCTTGGTGAGACGAAATAGGCCTAGCATTCGTCCCACTTGAGCACTCAATTCCGGAATATCAATGCAGCAAATTATGTTAGTAAAGGGGACCCAACACTTATCTTCCCTTCCAACATTTCTGTGTTCTGGCCAAAAGTATGTTTGAGATGGAAAATGAGGATGCATGAAGTTGATGTATGCATCATTGTTAGCATTGTCAAGCTCCAAAACAAGTCCTACAAAACACTTCTCTTCGTAAACACATGCTATGTAGGTATTAGGTTGAAGATTACAAAATTGTTGTTCTTGTGTAAAATTGTGTTTTAATGAAAATTCAGCATCATTGCTTACACGTTTGGCTGCAATTTCATGGGTTGATAGTGGTTGGAAGAAATGGAAAGACCTTGTGCCGGGTACAGTTTTGTATTGACTAAAACGTTCATCCAATTTCGGTACAATCAAACTTTCTACACTGTCAATGGTGATAAAGTCAAACTTAATTTTTGAAAATTGTTCATCGCAGAATTTATACATTGCTTCTGGTGTACAAATTTGGTCCTTATAAGGTCTTTGAAGGTTGGCTCTTGTAACGGATCTTTTGACAGAGCCACCAATACCATCGCAAGCACATTTTCCATGGCTTGTTGCATGGAAAGTCCAGGAAGCTTCAAGACCAAAATCTGATTCGTGTAAACAAAGATTTACCAAACTTTTGAAATTTTTGTACTGTGCGGCACAACCATCCGTAATATATTCTATTTTTGTAACATATGTGTGATGATTCTTTAAGTATAGGCAAATTCTTCTTTGAACTTCGTATACAAAGTTTACATCATGTTTCATATAGTCTGACAGGAAGCAAAATGATTTTTGAGTAACTTCTGAATTTTGATTGTCTCTGTAATAAATAACTACAGGATGTAAGGTACATGATGAGTAAGTCCAATGATAACTTTGAATCTCATCTTGCAGGATAAATCCATAGTTTTCCGAAAAATCCATGAAGCAAAGTACTTTGTTTTGTGATACAGATTCTTTCCTCATTTTGATATAACCTGATTGTTGTTTGGCGATGAATGAATGAGGTATTAATGTTTCTAATTTTTCATTAACAAGAGTAATGTAATCTGACATCGGCAAAACCATAGTTTGTAGCTGGCTTCGGTCTGTATTTGTCCATTGCTTGAATATGATGTCATCACTGTTATCATAATCTTCCAGTTTAGTTCTGATGAATTCATTTAGTTTGTCAGAGTTAGGAGACTTATCACACATTCTCAACATACATTTTTTCTGTTTATCTTCACACATCAACATTGCTGTCAATTCTTTTAATTTATCTTTTTCTAAATTCATTGGACTAATAAGCAAAGCTGGATTTTGGTGAATACAGCAAACACATACCGAGTGAACTCCTCTTTCATTAACTGTGACAAACCACTTTGGCCTAAATTCACAAAACTTGGATAGTCCAATTTTAGCATCTGGATATTTTTCTTTAAAAGCTGCGTACAGTTCCTCAATGTTGCAAAGCATTAAACGCTTTTGCAGGTAGGTGTTTTTTTCAATACTTACTTACTTACTCCTTTGCTCCTGGCATGAGCCTGCTGAATTCATCATCTTGATAGAAAGCTTTGACATTTTCTATAATATCAGGGTGAATTTTGCATCCCTCCTTTGGTTCAGGTATTGATAAAATTCCTTTAGTTTTACATAATTCCCGTGCCTTGCGAACCATGTATTCCGTTACATTAAATTCCATTGCGGTTTTTTTCCTGGACCATGACTGGGGTGCAAGAGTTAAAATCTGGATTTTTTCTCTTTTATTTTGAGTAACCAAGAGCTTGTCTTTAATGGCATTAATAAGGTGGTCTAAATCTTGGGCCTTCTGTGCAATTTTAGGAATAGATTCAGATGATGAAATTGATGAATCTGATTCTAGTTCTTTTTCGGGAAGCTTTAAGACACGGGCAACTTTGTTTTTCATTTTAGATTTAATTTCCTCAACTTTTCGTTTAGCATACTTGACTTAAGATTTACTTGATAAGGATTTTAATTTAAGTGGTGAGACTCCCAGGGTTGTTATACTAGATTTTAATTCGTATTTTTCAAAGGTTTTTGTGGGAGTGTCTTCAATTTCTTTAGTTTTAACCGGTGAAATAGCATTTTCTATGTTGTCACCATCATCCTCACCAGACTCACTATAAGCATTAAATTCTTCGTTGTCATCTTGTAAAATAACTTTTTTTCTACAGTTGTCACAATTTTTTTTACCTGGAATTAAAACTACTCCTTTTTTGGCCTTTATTTCCTGTGCAAATTTTAATGAAATTGGCCTTAACCCTGCCTTAATAATTTTTTTATGAACATTGTTAGGGTCACAACACTTTTTTTGGTAGTTTTCATAATAGTCTGTGAAATAAAGTAGGTGGTGTTGGCATACTGTTGATTCTTCATTCAGTTTTGTTGTCAATCTCCAATTCAGAATTTCTTTTACCTGACATTCTAAATTGGAATATTTAAAAATGTCCTTCTTGGCAGTAAAGTCTTTACAATGGCACGGAGAATCTAAATTGATTCCTATACTGCACAGTTCATTCTGTGTTGAGGGATTTTCATTTAAGCTCATATTTATTGTTTAATCTAACTATTCAAAATTTAAGTTCTTTTCAACTACATAATGCTATTATAATAAAACACACTACTATTTATAATTATCTTGAAGCAAAATAACACTAATGATTTAAACAATATAATAATCTAATGTATACTTGCTGAAAATGAAAAATAATAGACACTTGCAACTATGGACTGATGATGTCACTGCCACTGCACTATCCAGTGTTTCCATCCGCAAGAAAAAAATATCCCTGGGCCAACGTCAAAAAATCCCTAGTTATCCCTAGTCCGTTTTCTAATAATCCCTCCAATTATCCCTCTTCATCAAATCTAGTAGATACTTATTATTTTTGCAGCAATACCAATGGATATAATCATAGCCACCTAAAATATGGTAACTGGTGGTGTTCACTGAGCTAAAATTATAACTGGAGGTAGCACTGTCATGGCAGAAGTCTGTCAAAAGCGTGTCGCTGATTTTGTTAGGTTGGTATAGCAGCGAGTTTTCTTATCATAGCAATAACATGGCTTCTATAACTAGGTTGGTATAGCAGTGAGTTTTTTCATCCAATAACATGGCTTCTTTATAACTCACACCTCACGCAAACATGGCGGCTGGCGACACGCATCTTTGTCATTCAGTGCTACCTCCAGTTAGAATTATAGCTCAGTGGTGGTATTATTCTTCAATATACCATATTATTTATAAAGTAGGTAATACTATATAAAAAACATTTTTGCACCATTAAAACCACGGCCATCTTTAACTCCAGGCAGGCCGCGGCCTGGTAGAATTGGCAACGTTGCAAGTATCGTAGTATTGTTTAGCGCAAGACGTCCTATAAGTTAACATGGCAATAAAACACAATATAGAATCGAAAACCAAAACAATATAAATTGAAAATCTATTTTTATACGTTCAATGTGGAGTCAATATTTTCATAGCCCAGTAACCAAGCTTTCGTATTCTTAAAAAAATAAAAAAATATCATTAGCTTAGGATCTCCAAACAAACACCTTTTACAACAAACTTGCAATGTTGCCACTTCGAAGGCCGCGGCCTCCGGCCTGGAATTAAAGGTAGGTAGCCGTGATTAAAAACTGCCTATGTGGTACAAACCAAGATAAATTAACTAAAAAAATGAAACAAATAAATTGTTTCATAAATGTTACTCAAGTGTCAAAAATTTCAAACTTATAGTCTTTTTCAAAACATGGCCACCATGCCTTGGTGAAAAGGTTACACCAAGTTACTTACTAACCAAAAAACATCACAGAAATCACCGGCAAACAAA